CAACGCATAAAGAAACAATAACGCTTTCCTCGATCATGCTTTCTTCTAGAGCCGCCCTCTGCAGATCATGTTGTCATAAGATTTTGTGCCTATGTGGTAGTGCTTATGTGAAGGAGACTAGTCGATCGATATATAAGAGGCCATCAGAACACAAAACCGCCTGCAAAGGTTTATGGATTGAGAAACAAGAAGTGGCTGAACATGTGGTCGCTACAGGACGCTGGATAGAGTATTCTAAATCCCGTCTTGCTGGATATGGGGAATTCACAGCTAAGCGGAAGGTCAGGGAGATCAGCATCCACGAAGCTTTAACAAGACCCGGGGTTACTTAATCATACTATAGTTTTATAACATAAACAAAAGTTGTGACCACATCTGCTCCATGCCTTTATCACTTTAAACCACTTTCATGCATGTAGGACAAACATAAGTAAGCCAACCAAATCATGGAATGGCTCATTATGATCACAAAGTCAGGTCTAAGAAGTAAGTAGGATCTCAGCTGGCCACCCCTTCTCGGTTTAGTGTTTTTGTTGATTTTTCGTGAATAATGAGTTCTCGCTCTGACGATCTCTGTCATAGGACGGAAGAAAGCTCATCACGGAGTCATTTGGGTCGTAAGACGGTCAGCCGAGGTATTCGCACAATTCAACAGGCAAAAGTCCAAGGCTACCCTTCTGCGGTATCCAGTGCGACCAATTTACAGATTCCTTCGACCTGCCTTCTCAAACGCAATGAAAGGTACGCCAGTATCAATCTATTATGGGATTCTTTGAAACCAGCTTCTTTTCATATTTCATAATACAAATAGATTTAGCCAATCCTCATTCATGCTAATTTAAGTAGTTTTATGCTTATGTGTCTGCGTATTTTCGTTGCTGTACTTACGAAAATCAGATTACGAAGTCATAGTAATAACATTTGATCCCGACACCAGTTATAAATAATCAAGGTATAATAACCCAAATAAAGGCATGATTTGGATTTCCTACGGTAAGTTTTCTTGACACATTGACTTTAATACGGTTATACGAATGCTTATTCCCGTCATAGGTCAGATGAAATCTTTACATATTTTCACGGAATTCGAAAACTGTTGCCTAAGAGTAAGCGTCAATTAGAATGTTACAGTTATGCCAACCGACATTTGGCCAAGTGGAATTTACCTTTGTCTTCTGGCTGGGCCAACTTTAGGACGTTTTCATCGCTCATTTGCAATTGAAGTGGAACAATCATAAATAAAGGAAGTCTTAGAAAGTCAACTTTTATTCGCTTATGCTTACCTCGGTTCGAACCCCGCTAAGGGTGGTAATGAGATCAGTTCAGGCGCGGTCGAAGCCGGAGTCCACTGCTGCCTGAATGAGGATATCTTTTAGAAAGCAAGGCCATGCAAAATTCCATTGAAAGTAATGTCTACTTCAATTATTATGGGGAAATTCAATTAGAAGTCCTTCATTGCCTTACAACGAAATGGGGTGAACACAGCCCTTCGTTACTTTCCGTGGCTCAACGCTCATTCTCTCACCTTGCATCTATCAATCGTGCGCAAATAGTTCTTGTTCAACTTTCTTGCTCAGTTCTTTACCTTCAGCCTATTTATCGGGCACCTTTGCAAAAAATGCGAGTCAGCATAACAATTTAATTTCAGGATATGCATTAAAATATTATATTATTTAATTTTATATGTCTCAGCTTACAGTAAATTTTTCATAAACCTTGCCAGACGTGTCTCCGAGATTACGCAATCGGAGTAATAGTTTAAAGAAGGCCCATTAAATCCTGTTTACCAAGGACAGAGTTAAGTACACTCTGTCCTAGCAACCTGGAGCTAGCTTTGCCGGTTTCGTGGACTTACGTAAACAGGAACGTACACATGATTACACTTGCCTAAAAGGACATATGATATTATTTAACCAGATACCAAAAAGTCGCAGTTAGAATATATTTACAGTCTATGGAGTTATATTGACTTATTGGGCCGAAGTGGTTGTTAACGTTTTTTCACACAAAAGTACAGCACGTCTTCACCCAAACCGAAGGAGAATGTCCTGAAGACAGCGCCAGTCAGAGGAGTTCAGAATGGCTAAGCAATACCTGGTCGTCTTCTGATTGAGTCGGCCTAAAAGAATATCTTCATCACTCGAAATATAAGTGGAATCAAACATAAAACTAATGTATGAGGTGTATCCACCCTCAATCGCTTAACACGAAGAAGGACTGCTAGTTGAATTTTCCCACAATCGCATGAGTATAAATTACGTTTCCTTTGAAGTGCACATAGCCTTGCTTTCCCAAAAAGTAATCTCATCCAGGCTAAGGTGGACTGCGGTTTCGATCTCGCCTATGTCTAAGCAACACCCCCAGTGGGATTCGAGCCATGACAGGCCAGTGTGTAATCTCGACACGTTAACTACTACGCCGCATTGCCACGAGTGTCCTTGGTTCACTGGGCAGATGCGAATTTCAAGGAAGGTCAGGCATTTCCCCATGTCACATTCTGTGGGTGGGATTGTTGATGAAACAAAGTTGCATTTGCTATAGCAGCTGACTACATTACATATTTTTTGTCTTTAGATAGGATTTCGAGAATTTTCACATTTGACCTGTGACCCGAGGATACTAGTGGCAATGTGGAGTAGTGGTTGACCTGTCGAGATTATACGCCGCACTCTTATGCTTCGAGTCCGGCTGGGTTTGCTGATAAGACCTAAGCGAAGTCTGCCCAGATGAGAATATTTTTGGGAAAATGAATCCTATGTGAAATTTAATAAAAATGTAAGATATATTAATAACATTTCGGGGAAATGCAACTGCCAGATCCCTTCTCACCTTAAACGAAATAGGGTGAATGCATATCATATATATATATATGATATATTGTTAATCTCTAAAACCTACTTGAAAACGAACAATAAAACTTATGTATTTGGTGTCCAGTTCTAACGACCATAAACCTTTGCAAGTGGCTATGTGCTCGGATTGTCTCTTCAGGATAGATCGGCAAGTCTTCTCCACATAGGCAATACGACTACATGAGCTCACTGTTAGAAAGCAGGCTGCTCAAAGTTTGTCTGTGCGACTGGAGGAAGCTGGGCATTAGAAGGTCCCACATTTGTTGATCCGTCATTACTTGGTTGGGACTACCTTTGTGTAATTTCAAAAAGGTCAAACTTTGATAAACTACCAGCTTGGAAAACAAGCCAACTGCTTAATTCTGACTAGTGGAGCATTCGGATATTTAGATTTGATACACTCTTTCTTAACATGCACTTAACAGCACACATAAAGGTAAAACTATATTTACAAAATAAAAGCCCATTTCGAGGGAGCCGTGAATTGGCTGCACTTGAAACTGCCTTTGAGTAGAGAACTTAGGATTGTGTGAACAAATTCTCGGCACTCCGATGCATTCGTAATGATGTCTCTGATGTTTCTCAATGACAGAAATTGCCAGAGCTGTATTCCACCATTTACAATGATGAGTCGTAAACTTGTCAGTGAAATATACTGTTCTTTAATCCAAGGCAATCCTTCCTCAGTTTCCAAGGCGGCCAATTCACGTGTTGTGTTCATCTGACTCCTTGGAATTCCGCCACTTTCTGCGGTGCTATACAATTTTACGTTTCCAGGCAAAAGAGACTGGTAGACAGGAGTACGGTAAAATACCAAAATAAATGAACATGTCGACTTGACCAGATAAAGACAGATGAAAATGCATTACTTAAATGAAAAATGTCTGACTATTTGCAGTAAACACACTCGAAGAGGAAGAGAGCAGTCGAAATGTTGATACTACTCAACACACTACTTCTTACCCAAATTTAAAATATGTTTACCGGAAACATCTGTACGTGGGTATAGCAATATAAATTTCAACACTACTCAAAAGACTACTTAAAAGTGACTTACACAAAATACTTGTAGGGAACGTAGCTGAATAGGGGGCAGCAATTGTAATGCCGTGACAATTGAAAGAAAACAAGTTCCGGCTTTACCTGACGCGCCAAGTCCAAAGTAATGAGCCAGGATTTTAAGCTGATTCACTTAATACGGATCCAAACCTTTCAAGCAAATGTACCTTTAAAATAAACAGTCGAGTTGCACACCAAATTTTTATATAGCAGAAAGATGTACAATTTAATAGTTCCGGATGGACCTTGTGGGGTTGTC